GCCGTGGGCTGCCTTGGGGGTGCCGTGAGGCGCCGTGGGGGTGCCGTGCGGTGCCGTAGCTGCCGTGAGGCGCCGCGGGGCGCGCCCCGTCCTCGCTCGGGTAGAGTGAGGCTAATGACAGGCCCACCCTGTGGGGCAGCGGGATAGCACATGTGAGGTATGTGTCCCCAGGCCTGTCACCTGTTAGTTACTCCTTGTTCTCAGAAGAAGTTTTTCTTTGGGACTACTCAGTGCAGTTGTATTACTGAGAGTTGGAAAAAGGATGGGCCTTCGGGAATTCAAGGAGAAGTCTACATTTTCCCTCTGGATTTATTTTTAGCATATCTTTGTAATAGCCATGCTGTCTCTTCCTCCGTAGCTTAAAGCAGTTGGACAAATTTCTGGTCAGAAGGAGCTTCCTTAGCCCCAGAGATGTGAGATCAGGGGCCTCCAAGGCAGGGACAGGAGGCAGCTCCTGTGCAATTTCTTGTGGACCTTTGAAGGCATGTCAGGGGCACCGCCTCCCATTTCCACTTGGGGATCCACAGGGAGGGCTTATTCCTTGTTTCTGGTAATTTCAGGCAAGGACTCCTCTGAAAACAATAAAATTATGCTAGATAAAATATATCAAAATTAACCTTAAAAAAAAAAATCAAAGAACTGAAAAGATAGTGGGAAACTCCCAGGCCAATTTTGATTGAAAGTTTGTGGCTAGAGAGACACAAAATATATATATATGAACTATGTATATTTTTTGTTTCAAGGACCTTTGCCAACATTGTATGCTCGACTTTTGTTCAGGCATGCCGAGGAGTCAGGGAACAACAGTCAAGAGTGTCCAGGATGGGGAGTTTATGGGCCATCTTGTTTGTATTAACGTGGAACTCCAAAGAGCTAACCTCTTAGGAGAAGGATGAATCAGAATTAAATTGGTCCCCCAACCCTTATCTAAGTGATTATAAAGAAAAGAAAAATAAGTGTGAGAATGGGCACACAGACTGCTCCTCACAGCTCTGTACCCCAGAGGCGTATAGCCTGAGTGGCCTGTGACCTTGGTTTGAGCCGAACCTCGATGGACAGTGCCTCTGGGTGCTTAGCAGAGGCATCGTGCCACTCCGATGGATGGAAGACAAGTACATACTGGGCCTCAGAGAACCTCCACAGGTTTTCGGAAGTATTAACCAGGGTATGGTTAAATGTGACCAAGCACAGCAGGAACCCTGGCAACATGAGTCAGAACCAGCAGGGGAAATACACCAACTCATCTGCCTAGGCTTCCGGTGTTGGAATTATAAAACACAGATTTAAAGATAAATTTATTTATGCCATATTTAGATAAGTAAGTGATAAACCTGGAATGTTTGCAGAAGATAGGAAAGTGAAAAATTAAAAGATCTGAAATAATAACAAATTCTATAAATATATATGTAACCCAACGTGGGAGCATGACATGGGAGACTTTTGCTGAAAAAACTCTTGTATCTGTAGCTAGTCTTTGATTGCAGTTTCATCATGATTTGACAAATGAAATTGTATCTCAATCAGCTCTTTTCCCAATCAATGTATTGTCATTAAATCTAATTTGTAATACACTGTTAAAACTATTTCTCACCTTTATGCAAAATATAGTCATAAAACAAACCTCTTTCAGCTTTACCATTAATTCAACTCTGGTTTGTTGGATTTGTTGATATTCATGGTGTAAATACTCAGTATAGCTGATTTCAAGCTAGCAATATGACATCCCTAAATTTGTAATTAACTCAATTACATTAGAAGAAAGGTAGTAAGTATTTAAAACTCATCATTTTCTACTTACTAGCTACATTTTACTGTTATCTATTCTTTTGAAGTGATTTATAGGTGTATGTGGGTGCTCACTTCATACCTGTTAAACTTTAAAAATTTTTTAAATTTAAATTCAATTAATTAACATATAATGTATTATTTATTTCAGGGGTACAGGTCTGTGATTCATCAGTCTTATATAATACCCAGTGCTCATTACAACACATACCGTCCCCAGTGTCCATCACCCAGTTACCTCATCCCCCCACCCCTCTCCCCTCTAGCAACCCTCAGTTTATTTCCTGTGATTAAGAATCTCTTAAAGGTTTGTCTCCCTCTCTGGTTTTGTCTTGTTTCATTTTTTTCCTCTCTTCCCTTATGATCCTCTGTCTTATTTCTCAAATTCCTCATATCAGTGAGATCATATGATACTTGTCTTTCTCTGATTGACTTCTTTCACTTAGCATAATACCCTCTAGTTCCATCCACATCATTGCAAATGGCAAGATTTCGTTTTTTTTTTTTTTTTGATGGCTGCATAATATTCCATTACACACACACGCACGCACACACACACACACACACCTTCTTTATCCTTTCATCTGTTGATGGACAGCCTATTAGTAAAACTTAAAAATGTTTAATGTGCCTTTTTTGCTATACATGCTATATTTCACAATTTTTCTTTTAAATTGATCCAGTTGCATCATCATTAGGGACCACATTAATTGATCTATATATGTACTTTATTAAAAACGCTTAAGAAGGGCACCTGGGTGGGTCAGCGATTAAGCATCTGCCTTTGGCCCAGGTCATGATCCCAGGGTCGTGGGATCGAGCCCCACATCGGGCTCCCCGCTCAGTGGGGAGTCTGCTTCTCCCTCTGCCCCTTGCCCTGCTTGTGCTCTCTCTCACTCTTACTCTCACTCTCTCTCTCTCTCTCAAATAAATAAAATCTTTAAAAAAAATGCTTAAGAGATAGTATCTAGTCGAGGGAGTTATTATAAACTTACTTAGCTTATGGGTTATATGTTCTGAGTGTTTAGTACTCTATATAAAAATATCACTTGATGATACTCAGAGAAACAAATGGGAGCCACCCTTTCATTTCATGATGTGCTCCAAGAGTACCAGCTGCCATCTACAACCTCAGATAACGAATTTCATCAGATAACTATTTATATAGGCTCATTGTGGGAAAGTTAGGGTACAGGAAAAGCAAGGGAAAACTAGGGAAGGCAGAGGAGGTGGTAAGGAGTAGGGGCTAGTTGTCAGGAAGGTTCAGCACCCATATGTTCCTTCCACACTGTCCCTCCACTGTACAGAAGTTACTTTATGGAGCAGCTTTCTTTCTTTCTTTTTTTTTTTTTCCTGTAAAAGATTTAAAATTCCTTAAAATTTCTTTAAAAACTACATAGAATTACTGAAACAGCATTTTTGTTGCTTTAATTATGGAATCTTTTGCCCAGCTGGTATTTATTGAGCCCCTAAAATAAACTGGCACTGTGGTTGGAATATTCATCAGTGAGCAGACATGCACTTTGCCCTCAACCAGGTTACAGTGTAATTAGATGCATCCAGTGGAGTGGGGAGTGGTTATACATACAGAGAGAGTTCCCATTACCAACCCTTAAGAATGCTACATGTTTTTAAACACACATTTTAGAGGAAAAATAATTTGATAAAATTTAATGATATATAAAAATAAGTAATAAGATAGGTTCGTATATTGGTCTGAAACACCCTGACAGTTTACTTGGGACTGGACTTCTTTGCATCTTTACTTAAAATGAGTAGACTGCTGCAGATAATTTGTAAGTCTTGATTTCATACTCTGGCTAGCTTTGCAAAAAGGGGACATATCTCATGTATTGATGTGCCTTTAAATCACTTTTTCCTCTGACATACACATACACAAAAACATTTCTCCAGAATGTTTAGTCCTATTTTAAAAGGCTTACCTAATTTTGTATTTCTTGATTATTGTTTTATGTAGTAACCCATGCTATTGATGTTCTTATAATAGTCTTTATAATTTATCATAAGAGCAAACCTGTTTTCCTGCACACCAAAATGTGAGCTATAATCGAACAGCTCATTTATACAACTCTTTGTGTAATTACTTACTTCTGCACTATTATTGTTTAAATGAATGTGCCGTTGTTGAATTAGGGCCAAAAAAATTAGGCTGCCACAGCTTCCCTGACTATTCTGTGCCTGTCGTGAAAATAGTTTGTTTTGAGGTTATCCTCCCATACATGGTATACAAGATTGTTTTGCTCTAGTCTGGTGATACCAACTTTGTATGTATTCTGGTGGGGAAAAGGGGAGGATCAGGATATATTGTAATGTCTGGGACTGAACTTTTTTTTCTAATGTGTTTATTATTAGAAAAAGTCATTGGTGTGCTAGCTGCCTGTCTGGAAAGCGAGAGTCAAAATGCTCAGAGGATTGGAGCAGCTGCGCTTTGGGCTCTGATTCACAATTATCAAAAGGTCAGTTTTTAAAGTCCTTGTTATAGCCAGGGGCAAACACCAAGGCTCCGAGGCTGCAGCCAGGGATGCCGGAGGACTATCAGCAAGAGAGAAAAAATGAACTCAAAGACATTGTTGCCTTGTGCATTTTTACAGTTAGTGAGCCATCACTTGAAATCTTTTTCATTTAATCAACAGGATGTCTCATTTCAGAAGGGTGTCTCTTTTGGGTGAATTTTCCCTGTCAATATAAATTGATTTGGCATATCGGTTTAATGTTAGTATAGATCGTTTCTGCTAAAAGATGTATTAAGGAAAAATGCATCCTGAAATAAAACCAGATAATGAAGTTTTATCCAGCTGTGTGATTCCTCTTTGTCTAGCATGTGCTGTTACTGAGTTTCGAGAAAACCTGGTTCTTGTGAGGCTGCAGCCCAGGGCCAGCCCCGAGGGAGCCATCAGCAGGTGCCGACTTGCACTTGCTCTCTCTGGCCTTTGGGCTTCTCTTTCATTGCAGACATCTCATTCCTGAGAGAAGTGCCCTTGTATATCTAGCAATTAAATAGCGGCAAGTGCCAGCCGGTGTTAGGATGCACACCATCCCCGAATGGTGTTCTTGGCCGTTTGTCCCTTGTGTGCTGCTCGTCCCTCCCGGGCGGCAGCCGTGTGCACGAGGCCAGAGGCAGCGCAGTCACTTCACTGTGTACCCCTAGGGCTTAGCACAGGAGCTGACACTTTGCAGTTACTTATTAGTGAATATTCGTTGACCAACCGGTACTGTTTGTTATACTTTGTCGGAAATCTGGGGTTTGAGGGAATGTGAAATATGGAAACCAAGACTGAGTCTTCCTTTAAGACTTGATATTAGGGGAGAAGGGGCCAAGGGAAGGGCAGGGAAAGAAGCACACGGAGCTGCAAAGAAGCGAGTTAGGGAGGGAAGAATGTGGGCGACGGCACAGTGGGTGGGATATGCCCATTCCTAATTCCCTGGATCCATCGTTATACTTGGTAATATTCTGCTTAGGGCTGTGGTCAGCAGGGGCCGCATAAATATTGTAGTACCTGATCCATAGCCTATGGGAATAAATCTAATTAATGGATTGCTCTGTGTTATCTGCAGGCAAAAACAACTTTGAAAAATCCATCAATAAAAAGAAGAGTGGATGAAGCATATTCCTTAGCAAAGAAAAGTAAGTTTTATTATGGAAGAGATTATACTTAAACTTGGAAGCTATTAAGTGAATTCTCTGATTAATGAACTGTTTGGATAGTTCACAACAAGAAGACAGTTTTCTACATTGATGTTTGAGAAGCTTTTTTATTGAAGCATTATAAAAATGTGCTGATATCTGGTCCATGCTTTTCATTATGTCACCTTTTTAAATAATAAATTGTTTTGGTAGATGAAGGTTTGAGATATAGTTTCTTAAAACATGTCTTTGATCTTTCTCCAGTTCATTTTCTTTTTCATGCACTAAACTTCCTTTGCCAGTGGCTACCACCGTGCTGTAATGTGTTCTGAAGTGATAAGAACTGGGCCCAATTAGAATTGACCTTGAACAGAAAACTTTGATCCAACATCAGGGAGTTGAATTACAGTCTTCCGAGAATAGATCGAGTTGCCCTTCTATTCTCTCAGCCCTGTGATGTGATCATGATAGGAGGCAGGGTCTTCTTTTCACAGTTCATTTTTCATTTTAAGTGACCGGTTTTCAGTGAGCATTATTCTTTGAGCACTTTTTATGCTAAGGAGCTGTACTGTGTCTTTCTTGTACTGTACTAAATCTGTTGGTTATTAATTTGTGCTTTTATAGTCTGATTTTTTATAGGTAGTTTGGTTTGTTTCTCACTGTGACCATGAGTTCCTAGAGGTAGTTATGTTAGAATTTGTGCATTCGGAGGAATGATATAGTAGCATAGAAAGCAAGGCATTCATTTGGGGTTATAGGTAATGGCAGCCATTATGGAGGCGTATTGATTTTTGTTTATACTTTTTGGCTAAACTATAAATAAAAAATAAATATGAATTCTGTCTGTTCTTAAGTACAGTACTAAATTTAGTAAACTTACTCTTCCATACTCTTATTTTTCTCTCTCAGCTTTCTCAAACTCAGAAGAAACTCCTCTAAATGCCTATTACTTGAAATGTCTTGAAAACCTTGTTCAGCTTCTAAACTCTTCCTGAGCCATGTGAGATTCTCCTCCCTGAAACTGATGGCCGCCAGACAGGTGAGCCAACCTTGAAGCAAGCTCTGTGTGGCAGCTGTTACCTGGAGACATGCTAAGTCTCTGCAAGGTGTGTGCCCTTCCTGCCTGATGAGAAATAAAACTGGGACATCTCAGCTCTGTCCCTCCGTACCAGCTCTCTCTGAGTAAGAGCAGCTGACAAGAAGATGATGGACAAAAGGCATAGAAAGTTTTGGGAACATAAACATTTTTACCTTTTTCTATGCAATTTGCTTTGTAAAAATCATATTTAACAGTTATTTAATAAAATATTTTCAGAAACTGAAAATCGACTAATAATTGCTACTTGCAGACTTTTATCAGTCTCATAAGTATAAATTTTAGTAATTGGAAGAAGACAGGGTTTTCTGATTCCTTTTTTTTCCTTGATTTTTTACATGGAATTTGGCTCTTGTCAGTACAAATCCTTATTTCTCAAACCTTTATATTGCCCCGAGCATACATGTTGGTGAGGAGATATTTTGTATATAAATGTCTATAATTTTGTCAGTGCTTCTTTATGCAATTTTTAGTGATATTAACTGATTTCCATATGATTTGTAAACCTGTTATGTTTTATTATTTTCACCTTTCAACTTCTAAAATACTGTGTAATAAAGAAGGAAGAAATGAGTTTACAATCAGGTAGGCCTGGGTTCAAATTCTAGCTCAGCCCAAAACATCACGAAGAATAAGACTTAAAAAAATCTAGAAGGAGAAGTTCTGTCAAGTATTCATGATGTAATAACACTTAATGACATTAGTTTTGAACTGAGAACTTACAGCAATATCATTCAAGTACTGATCAAGTACAGCAGTTATCCTAGCACTTTTGAAAGAAAGAAAATTGTGTCTAAGAAAAAAACACATCAGTATACACACTCATTATTTACACATACACAGCTGTACACACTCATTTAGGGAAAAATTTTCTAATTGAATTATAGTTAACAAAAAAATAACATTTTTAAAATGCTTTAGCAAATGCTATCATCACTAAAACAAGCCGGGTGATTTTATTTAAGCTAGAAGCATGAGGACAGAATAGATGTTAAATATTGAAATAGAAGCAGATAAATTTGTGGTGTCTGAAAATTATTGATTAGAGATCTTAACAATAGATCTAGGAAGTTCAGAAGTTCCTGGGCCACCTAAGCTAATTCAAAGAAATAGACATGTTGATACTCTGAAAAATTCACCAATTCTGAGAGCAGGAATCAGGAATTATTTCTACCTTTTCTCCTGGTTTCTTATATTCTGTGCCATTTTCTTGGTATTACCTTATAAGTTCTCAATGATGAATAATGGCATGGATTTCTTTGTAACTTCCATTTAAATAGTTCTTTCTATGTCACAGGCACTATTCTCAGAATGTTTATTATTTAGTCTGTGGCTGCCTGTCTGTCTGTGCTGTGCTGCCTCTTTTTTTTTTTTTTTTTCTCATTGGAATTCCTGTCTTGTATTTGGATCTTATAGATAACTACCGTTTTTTTCTACAAAATGAGATCTCTCCAGGGAAGTGATCTTTTCCTTTATGGTTCATTGATTAATTGGCATATCAGGGTATCCTTTGCCTCCTATCTTTGAAATCAGGAAGAGTTGTAACTGATTATTTTCCCTAGCAGTTCCAGGTAGTACTATGGGGGGTTTGTAGCACAGTAGCTTGAACCACTCGGGGATGTGACCTGCTGACGCCCAGGAGAGGACGGCCACCCTTGGTGGAAGCAGAGCTAACGGCTTCAGGGGAAGTTGCATTATCTCCTGTTGGTGTCCAGGGACTCGAGCCTCAGAGGCATATAGTGTTCCCGGTCCTGGATGGCAGCCCTTCCCATCTGCGTCTCTTCAGATTCTGTCCAGCCAACTGGGGGGGCACTGGTAAGCAGACGATTCCTGAGGTCACCAGCACACAATTTCAGCAGCTGCTGTGATGCTAACTTGGGGACCCATCAGCATCAGAATCCCCTAGGATATTTGTTGAAATGCAGATTCCTGGACCCACTGAAATGGAGTCTTAGGCCTGTGTTTGGGAGAATTGTCAGTGAGCTCCCCAGGTGACTTTTACTTTCTCCACAATTTGAGAACCAATAATTACTCCCCCTGATTTTACAGAAAACTGTGTAAACATGAAAATGATTTAACATTACTCAGCTACTTACTGATGACATCTGACTTGAATCTGGGTGTCTTGAGTGCTAGTCAAGTGCTTTTCCTATCGCACATCCCTAGTGTAAGCAGAGATTCAGAAAATAGGTGTAGGGGACCAGTTCATGCCTCATGGTCTCCAAACTTCCGATCCCCTGGCCTTTTTGGTTGGTTGGGTTGGTATTGCCTGTGTGCCATAAATGGACACACAGCTGGCTCCTTTTTTTTTTTTTTTTAAAGATTTTATTTATTTATTTGAGACAGCGAGACACAGCGAGAGAGGGAATGCAAGCGGGGGGAGCGGGAGAGGGAGAAGCAGGCTTCCCGCGGAGCAGGGAGCCCGATGTGGGGCTCGATTCCAGGACCCTGGGATCATGACCTGAGCCGAAGGCAGATGCTTAACAGCTGAGCCACCCAGGAGCCCCAAAGCCTGTACCTTTTTAACCAGAATGTGCAGAATTGATATGGGGGCTTCTGAATTTAAGAGCTTGAGCAGTTTGCAGGAGGAGGCAGCCTTTGGTTTCGAAAACAGAGGAAACAAATAGAATACTTAGGAGACCTAGCTGGAAACTTTTCATTCTCTTCCTAAAAATCACTTTCAAAAATGAATAACTGGATGTATTTTTCTTTGGTGTTCTGTAAGGAATGAAGTAAAAAAATAGAATTTGCCTGTTTAACTGCAGGTCATCAGTTTTCTTTTGTAGTATTAAATATACTCATCATCTGTAGTACTCTTACATCATGAGTCTTTGTGGCTGCACCTTGTCTACCCCCATTTCCTGAGATCTGCTTCTTGACTCATGATGTTCCACAAATTTGGCAGTTTGATGGATAGGAGTAATGATTGATTAGCATCGCTGTTTTTGCCATAGCCAGTTGTGCATGTGGTTCTCTCAGGGAAGGAGAGAGCATGACAGAGTGGTTAAGGCATTGGGCTCTGGAGCCATATGGACCTGCTGTCAACCTGGCTTCATCCCTGCACGGCAGTGGCAGCCCAGGGACGGCCTTGAGGCCACGTCTTCTGCTGTAACTGGGGATGAAGATACCTGCCTTGTAAAGCTGGGGAGAGGTTGGAGTGCCCTAGTACTTAGTTGATTATCCCTTGGATTAATTATTCTTATATAGTTCTCAAAAATTTATATCTCCCTCATTAAAACATTAAATCCTTTGTGTCCTTGCAACCCTTCTATTTCTTTGGGGAGGGGGAAAGGCTGGGAAGTGAGTTACATTGTCAAAACTGAGGTTTCCACATTCCAAAAGGATTGTCAGTTTCTAGTGGGGATGTGTTCATAGTCCTGAGGTCGCTGAGCTCATGGATGCTCACCAAGTCATCATGGAGAACCTAAGTCTTACAAAGCACTGTGTGGAGGTGTTAAATGCAGCTGAGTGGATGTGGTACATTTTATTCTGCTTGTCAGGTTTTCTGGATTGACTGTGAGTTGGTGAAATACCACTCTTCCCCAATTTGACTTGAAAAGTACAAGAGATACAAACTTAGCATCTGAAAGAAAACCTTAGCATAAAGAATCCATCAGTTTCCGGATAGCCATTTTCTTCTGTCTGCCTGTTGTTGACTTGTGATCCAAACAGTCAAGGGGATTGGATGATTAAATGCTATTGTTTCTGTGAATGGGCAACTTAGAATTTATTCTTCCTAAGTTAAAAATTACTCTTCGTGGGAAATTCCTTTTAAAATTCAAATAGTAAGTCAGCTGGGACTGAATGATAGTAAGCTGGGCCTCAAGGCTCAGGGTGTACAAAAAACTATGCCAAAACCCTGGGATTCTGAGATTTGGCAGCAAGACATGACGAGCTCAGTGTGATCCTGTTTTAAATCTTCCCAAAAACGTTCATCTTTGAGTTTCATTTGCTCCTTCTGCATTTGAGAAATCTTCAGAAAAAAAATATGCTCTTTTAAAATAATGTTTCACAAAAGATCCATAAGGTAACATTCAATAAATTTCTCTTTAACTAATTTGGCATGAAAGCCAAGAGAAAAATATGTGTTCTAAAGTAGACTCCAAGGAACACTTTCTTTCATGCATTTCTCCTTTTTCAATAACGTCTTTCCCTACAGTTTTACCTCTACCCATGGCTATGCCTTTGGAGTGTCTGTGTCCCATTTGGTTCATCTGGGCAGCGATACTCAGCATTCTGGTAGCAAGTAGATTGCTTGCAGTCCTGGACAAATTCTGAAAACATGATTTCCTCAGATACTCTATTAGAACATTCCTCCCTTGCCTTGCCATGGAAAGAGATTATAAAAAGGTAGATTATAAAATAGAGAACTACTTTTAATCATTTTCTGATAAAACAAAGATTGGATTGCAAAGAATTGGTTTATGGATATGATACCTGATTTACAGTTTATATCTGTTAGGGAAAGCCATGATTGCATAGAGTAGAAAATATAAAGTAATAATAGCTTCAGGGGGCACCTGGGTGGCACAGTCAGTTAAGCGTCTGACTCTTGCTTTCAGCTCATGTAGTGATCTCAGGGTCATGAGATTGAGCCCCACGTTGGCTCCGCGCTCAGCGGAGTCTGCTTGATTCTCACTCTCCCTCTCTCTCTGCCCCTCTTCCCCCACACATGTGCGTGCATGCTCTCTCTCTCTCTCTAAAATAATTAAAAAAAAAAAATAATGGCTTTAACAAGAGAGGATTTTCTTTTTCTTTTTTTGTTATGTTGGTTTTTTTCCCACATGTAGGAAGCCCCCAGGTGGCCATTCCTTCGTTGACCGTGTCCTCAGGGACTCAAGTGCCCATCCTTTTGCTTTCCTTTCTTTGATAGCACCCTTCCTTCAGCGAGTTGCCTCATGAATGTCAGAAAGGAAAAGGATGGAAAAAAGATGTCCCCAGTTGTCTGTTGCCCTTTTAAGGAGCCTTCCTATAAAACCACTCCAGCAACTTGCCTTCACATCTTCTTGGACAGAACACAGTCACATTCATGGTCACTCCTGGCTGTAAGAGTGGTGAAGGAGTTTAGTCCTTCAGGTGTGCTCACTGCCGTATCTAGTGACTCAGGTCTGTGCTGGTCAGGAAGGGGGATGAGGGGCTTGGTTGGGCAACCACCAGTCTCTGCCCCACAGGCCAATGTTCCAGTTAATTTAAGAGAAAAATGGGATATAATTAGGGGTAAAAG